CAACACACTATGGTTTCCCAGTATGATATTTTTGTTTAATACTTATTTCTATGATTTTATAGTGATGCTTTTGACACTCCATTCCCTGTATACCTTCATATATGCTCTTGTATATGCTGCCTAGTCAATTCCAACGCATACAGATTGCTACCAGAAGAAAACATTATGTATTTTCATTACAAGCAAAAAAAAGTGATGTGATCAACAAGGGAATCATATTGTCTGTATAAAAAAAGATTAAAAAAGAAACATAGATACCTTGAGTATTATAGAGGATTAAATTCAAGCATCTATAAAAATACTTTTGGGGGGGGGGGGAAGGCTGAACAATCAAGGAATAAGTACATTTGCTTGAGATGATGAGGGTTCTTTCAGATGAGAACAATTAGTCCCAGCTTACCCACCATGAACATGAGTTAGATCATTAAGAATATCAGGAACAGGAGGAACTATCTGGATGATACAAAACTTCCCTGCATACTAATGACTACAGACAGATATATTATGATCTGATATCAAGAACTTCATGTGTTTGCTTTCACAGAGAGATCACATGCAGATATGGGTGCAATAGCAAAATGTGGTGAAGAAACTATATGGTGCCTGACTTTCAGAAAGAATATATCTGGTATCTTAAAGGTTTGTTTTTCAAACAAGCAGTCATCGAAGTGAACAGTTAACATGGGAGAAACACATGAGCCTGTGTGATCCAAGGACTGTAAATAATATACTCCAAATCTAAGAGAAGAAATTATATCAGAGCTTTGTAAAAACCCCATTTGCAGAAGGCTATAGGTGACAGTGGAAGCCCAAAGTCCACTGGCGGAATTCATAAATGGATTAAACCCCTAATCATTTACCTCTGACTATGCACCATGATAGTCTTGCTATCATGCAGAATGCATTGGAAAGTAGATTGCTGAAGATTCAGTTAGACTAAAATGTAGTTCCTTATCATTTGATCTCCCTTATGTTGTTAGGTGACATTGAGTTGATTCCAACCAAAAGCGACCATATGCACAACGGAAAGGAACTCCACATAGTCCTGTTCCATCATTATAATCATTCCCATACAGGCACATAGTTGCAGCCATTGTGTTAATCCACCTCACTGGGGGCCTTCCTTTTATTCGCTGACCCTCCACTTTACCCAGCGCAATGTCCTTCTCCAGGGTCTAGTCTCTCCTGACAATATGTCTAAAGGTTGCAGTGTTGCCAGGCTTGCCTCCAGTGAGCACTCTGGCTGTATTTATTCCAAAGCAAATTTGTTTGTCCTTTGAGCAAGCCATGATACTTTCAATATTCTTCTCCAACACTACAATTAAAATACTTTGATTCTAGCTCAGTCTTCCTTACCCAATGTCCAGCTTTCACAGGCACATGAAGCCGTGGAAATAGCATGGTTTGTGTCAGGTGCACCTTAGTTCTCAAAGAAACATCACTGGTTTTCAACACTCAAGAGCTCTTGTGCAGCAGATTTACCCAATGCAACTCATCTTTCAATGTCTTGAATACTGTTTTCATGAGCATTATTTGTAGATCCAAGCAAGGCAAAATCCTTGACAGCTTCCAACTTTTTTCATCATGATGTTACCTATTGGTCCAGTTGTGGGGGTTTTGGTCTTCTTTATTTTAAGTCATAATCCATACTGAAGGCTGCAATCCTTGATCATCATTAGCAAGGACTTCAAGTCCTCCTTATTTTTTGCAAGCAAGGTTGTTTCCTCTGTACATTACAGGCTTTCAGTTGTTAATAAGCCTTCCTCCAATCCTAATGCCATATTCTTCTTCAAATAAGCTGACTTCACTATTTATTTGCTCAGCATAGAGATTGAACAAGTATGGTGAGAGGGTACAATCCTGAGGCATATATTTCCTTATTTTAAAGCAATGCAGTATTCCCTTGTTCTGTTCACACAATTGCCTCTTGATCCATCTACAGGTTCCACATGAGCACAAGGAAGTATTCTGGAATTCCCATTCTTTTCAAGTCTACCTATAGTTTGTTATGATCCACATAATCAAATGCCTTGGCATAGTCAATAAAACACAAGTAAATATCTTTTTGGTATTCTGTTTTCAACCAAGATCTGTCTCAAAACAGCAATAAAATCCCTTGCTCCATGTACTCTTCTGAATCTGGCCTGAATCTCTGGCAACTCCCTTTCAATGTACTGCTGAATCCATTTTTGTTGGATGATCTTAAGCAAAATTTTGTGATATCAATAATATTGTTCCATAGTTTGAGCATTCTATTGGGTCGCCTGTTTTTGGAATGGACACAAATATAGATCTCTTCAATGAGTTGTCCCAGTAGCTTCTTCCTAATTTCCTGGAAGATCTCTCTTATAATCCATTTAAATTTGTTCTAATTTTTAATATTTCCTACTTTATTTTTGATTGAGCTTTTTCTCTGTTTTACTTTGCTATTGGTGTTAGTTTTTTAATATACATAATTTTTGTATATGAAACTCAGAATAGGTAAATCTATAGAGACTGTCGCTAGATGAATGGTTCCTTGATGGCCTGGCAGTGGAGGCGAGGGAGAAGTGGCGAGCTCATAATGATGAGTACGAGAATGGAAAGAAGGTCTAAAACTGATCATAGTGGTCATTGCACAACTTTTCTGGAAGGGACTGAACTATTCAATGGTATGATATATGAATTATATGCTAATAAAACTATTGGGGAATAAAAAAGAATTCCATATAGGAGGAATGCAAGAGGTCATTAAAAAAAAAACAACAGAAAACAAAGACCGAAATGTATATCTGAAGAGATTTTGAAATTTGTTCCTGAACTGAAGAAACTATTTTATGCTCAAAATAATTGAATGATGCAGGAAGAATCAAAAGAGGATGGAAGAAATATAAAGAGTGATTATATCCAAAATCGCTCAATGATGTTTAACTATTACAGGCGGTAGTATTGATGAAGAACAGATAGTACTGAAGGAAGAAGCCCAAGCTGCAGTAATGTTAAGGCTCCAGAAATTGATGAATAAAAGTCAAAATGTTTCAATAAACTGATGCAGAACTGGAAGCACTCATCTATGCCATGAAGTTGAAAGGCAATTACCTCACCAATCTACAAGAAGAAATTCATATTTTCATGCATCTCCCATAAAGATGAACCATTAGTATATGTAAATTATTTATAATATCATTAATATAAAGTATTGTAGCAACACATTGACACCAGGAATTCAAGCTGGATTCAGGAGATATGCAAGAAATCATATTATTGCTGATATCAGGTTGTTCTGCACTGAAAGCATTACATACCAGAAGGATTTTAACCTCTATTTTATTGAATTATGCAAAGTAATTCTCCTGTATGTGCCATAAGAAATTATGGGCAATGATGCAAAAAAATGGTAATTCCAGACTACTTAATTGTGTTCATACTGAAATTGTGCTTAGACATAGGCAGTCATCTAAAGAAAATAAAGGGATATTACATAATTTATAATCAGGAAATGTGCTCATGAGGGTTTATTCTTTATACATAATTGATTTGTATCTGAGAAGTTGGTATAGAAAAAATAATGCAGTATAATGACTGGAGGAAGGCTCACTAATAACTTTGTGTTATGAGATTACATGAAGTTAGTTTTTGAAAGTGTGTAAGACTTGGAACCATTACTGATGAATATCAAAGATTACGGGATTGCACATCAATATGAAGAAAACTAGTAGTCTCACAATGGGACCAGTAAGCAACATCATGAAAAGTGGGAAAAGATTGTTAAGGATTTTATTTTGCTTAGAATCACTATCAAAATCCATGGAAGAATCAGACAAGAAATCAAAAGAGGAATTGCACTGAGAATATCGGATACAAAATTCCTCTTTAGATTGTTAAGCAAAGATGTCAGTTTGAGGATGAAGGCGGGCCTTATCCAATCCAGGATGTTTTTAATCACCTTTAATGCATGTGAAAGCTGGGCAATGAATTGGGAAGACCAGAGAAGTGGCAAGGAGTATTGAATGAATGCTGCTGGAACAGAAGAAGGAATAAGTCTCCCTTGGAAAAAGCAGACTACAATGTTTCTTTGAGACAAGGATTGAAAGACTTTGTCTAAAGAAATTAGGATGTTTTCAGGAGGGGCCAATTCCTGGAGAAGAACAGAATATTTAGTAAAGTAAAACATCTGCAGAAAAAGGGAAATACCTTCAATAAAATTGATATAGTGACTGCAACATTGGTCTCAAATATAGCAAGGATTGTGAGGATGGCCCAGGATCAGGTAGTGTTTCATTCTGAGTCACTATGCATCTGAGTCAACTTGACAGCACTTAAGAACAACACGAACAACCAAACTTGGTCCATGATTTTCACTGTTATTATACAAATGTGATCAATAGCATTATTCTTGGACTTGACAAATGTGAATTAGGCCACAATTCACTTCTAGAAATATCATGCACATGCACAGTATATAAATGCAAAAGCTGTTCCAGATATTTTTCAACATAATTTTGCCATCACTATGTGCAAATCATAGATGCAGGCATTCTATTTGTGAAAATGTGGTATATATTGGAGGTTAATATATTACATGTATATTAATTGAGATAAAAACTTATTAGTGAAAAAGTAAAAATGCCTGATTTTTAAATTGTTACTGGATTAAGATTTGAAAGTTAAAGAAAAGGAGCAATAAACATTTTAAGAAAATCAATGGAATAAATACAAATATAATGTAAAACTCTCTTTATATTCCTGGACTTGGAGGGTTTCATTCCCTGTCCTTCTGAAAATCCTCTCAGAGAAGTCTCCTATATTCTCCTACCCAACCTAATCCTCAAAGAGTGTATTCCAACTTTGGCTGCAATTTAGTTCTGGCAGCACCATCTCTCACAACACTAAACCTGGTCCTGAGGACGACATAAAACTAGCATCCTGATGACTGATGCTGTATCTTCCTCTCCGCTGGCAGGGTCTTAGGAAAACATGACAGGCAGGAATGAACCTTGGAGAGATAAGGTGTTGTCTTTTTAAATGCTATGTGGTGTATCATTAGGGCCATCAGTGGTGAAAAATGAAGACATTTGGCAAATGGGTTACTTTTAGGCTGCTAACTGCAAGGTTAGCAGTTTGAACCCAACTGGTCACTCCATGGGAATTAGATGAGGCTTTCTGCTCCCTGAAGATTTACAACCTCTAAATCCACAGGTGCAGTTCTACTCTGTCCTAGAGAGTGGCAATGAGTTGACATTGACATGATTTAATGATTGTGGGTTTTGTTTTATTTTTACTTTTATTTTTATTTTTAATTTTATTTTACTCTCAAGGGGCCTAAAGTAAAAAGAATATTGGATTTTAAAAGGCGCCCAGTACATGGTATGCTGTAAGGAGAATACATTCACTGCCATAGAGTAGATGCTAACTCATAGCAACCTTATAGGACAGGGTAGAACTGCCCCTATGTAATTCTGAGACTATAACTCTTTATGGGTAGTAAGCTCCAGTCTTTCTCTTGCAGTGCAGCTGGTGGTTTTGAATTGCTGATCCTGAGGATCAAAGCCCAATGGTTAATCACCGGACAACTATTGGAAGGTATAATAAAGTTTTATTTACTTAGTGACTGCAAAATGCAACACCAGTATTAAATGTTAGGAGATTGACCAGAAACACTAACTTTCCAAGTGATTTGTAATTTCTAAAGAAATAAGTTTTGTATTCGTGAATTTTCTATTAATATTTTTTCATTGAAATCATGCTAAACTAAAAATGGAAATTTATCGAGATCATATTTTTGTCTCTGCTTTTTGTGAAAGTCAATTGTTAAATATTGGTCTATATACTTAAACAAATATGTTAATGTTAGCAGAAATATTATTTAATATTACTTTTTAAAAATAATTTTATTGGGGGCTCATACAACTCTTATCACAATCCATACATACATCAGTTGTGTCAAACACATTTGTACATTTGTTGCCATCATCATTCTAAAAACATTTGCTTTCTACTTGAGCCCTCCATATAAGTTCCTCATTTTTACCCCTCCCTCCCCGTTTCCCCCTCCCTTGATAATATATAAATTATTATTATTTTGTCATATCTTACACTGTCCGATGTCTCCCTTCACCCATCATCGGTTCCCCCTTTCCACCTTACCCTCCCTCTATCCTCCCGGTATCGCCACTCTCACCACTGTCCTAAAGGGATCATCTGTCCTGGATTCCCTGAGTTTCCAGTTCCTATCTGTACCAATGTACATCCTCTGGTCCAGCCAGATTTGAAAGATAGAATTGGGATCATGATGGGGGGGGGGGGAGAAGCACTTAAAAACTAAAGGAAAGTTGTATGTTTCATCATTGCTACAATGCACCCTGACTGGCTCATCTTCTCCTCGCGACCCTTCTGTAAGGGAGTGTTTGCCTGCAGATAAGTTTTGGGTCTCCAGTCTGCACTCCCCCTCATTTACAATGATATTATTTTTTGTTCTTTTATGTCTGATACTTGATCCCTTCGACAACTTGTGGTCACACAGACTGGTGTGCTTCCTCCATGTGGGCTTTGTTGCTTCTGAGCTAGATGACCGCTTGTTTATCTTCAAGCCTTTAAGACCCCAGACAATTTATCTTCTGATAGCCGGCACCATCAGCTTTCTTCACGACATTTGCTTATGCACACATTTGTCTTCAGTGATCATAACATGAAAGTGGGCACCCACTGATATGATTTTTTATGAACAGTCTAGAGGAGAAAACAATGGGATTTACGGTTCTGGGAGGACATGGGAGAGGAGGAGGTGGGGATAAGGATGTGGTGATGACCAACCCAGGGACAAGGGAGAACAAGTGATACAAAATTAGTGGCAAGGAGGGTGTGTGAGGCCTGGTAGGGATTCAGCAAGGGCAATGTAACTGAGAGAAATTACTGAAACCCAAATAAAGGCTGAGCATGATAGTGGGACAAGAGGAAAGTAAAAAGAAATAGAGGAAAGAACTAGGAGCCAAAGGGCATTTATAGAGGTCTAAATCCAGGCATGTACCTAAGTAAATAAATTTATATAGGATGGTGGGGAAATAGATCTATGCGCATATAGATATAGGTTTAGTATTAAGGCAGCAGAAGGACATTGGACCTCCACTCAAGTACTTACTCAGTGCAAGAACACTTTGTTCTATTAAATTGTCATTCCATGATGCACACCTTCCCAATACAATCGCTGAAGACAAATGTGTGCATAAGCAAATGTGGTGAAGAAAGCTGATGGCGCCCAGCTATCAAAAGACATAGCATCTGGGGTCTTAAAGGCTTGCAGGTAAGCAAGCAGCCATCTAGCTCAGAAGCAACAAAGCCCACATGGAAGAAGCACACCAGCCTGTGTGACCACGAGGTGTGATATTACTTTTTTTTTTTTTTAAACATTTTATTAGGGGCTCATACAACTGTTATTCCAATCCATACACACATCAATTGTGTAAAGCGCATTTGTACAT